CCCCAAAACCCCAAAACCCCAAAACCCCTGAGGAATAGATTTCAATTGAATTTGCCAATTAGAAACTTTATTCTTATAAATGGCTCCAGGTGAACTTTCTTTATTTCTCTGAAGCATAGACTTCTTTGATAAACAAGAGACATTTCTCTCAATGAATCATGGGGTTTATTAAAGAATTCTTGATGAAATCAATATTTTTCATGATTATATCCAAAACAAAGAGATCAGGCAATAGTTTGATTCAAATTAAAAATCTTTTGCTAAATTATGTTAGCTTTGGTTCACAAGCTTAATGAGAGCACCCAACTTTGAGGTTTATATGGCTCTAATTATTGTATACAATAGTAATCTCTTCAGAACCTTAAGAATACTTTCTCATGAATCTATACGATAACTCAGGTTCCCAGATGACTACGCATATAATTAACTTTGACAAGGCACCTCTGAAATATCCTTCACTCTTGAGGTTAAGCAGGGCTCAGACAACTTGAAACAGAATGCCCCCAACTAAAAATCAAAAGAATATTCACATGAGGCATCTTGCTCTCTATGTTATTTCTTAATCTATTACTTCATATCCTCATTTTTTAATTTGGGAGATATCTATTCAGAGACTATTGATTTAGCAAACTAAATTCTCAATGACCAGACTCAGATAGATGCCTAAAGTATTGATTTCAAGGCCTGACTTACTTATTAGAAATCATGAAGAAGTAGTAATGCAGAAAACCGGCTGATTATTTTTCATAAACTTGTGAAGCTTATCATAAACCTCTCAATATGACTAGCGAGTACTTCAGGATATTTCAAACTTAAAGTATTCAGAATCTACATGGAGATAGAGTGAAGCTTCAGGTCGGTATGGGCAAATTTTGATCAACACACGCTTTTTCTCAGAGAGAACCCAAACTTTAGAAGAATAATTTGGTTAACACGCTCACTAATTTTCATTTAGCCAGAAAAGATAGAGTAAGAGATAGAATATGCATACAAATGTAGAGATAAATCCTAAGACTCTGACTAGGCAAGCATCTCTATTTTTTAAGATGAAATATTAAATTAAGTTTCGAATCTCTTCATTATTAAAAATTAATGAAGATTTTTCCTCGAAATCTAAGCAACCGACTAATCGAGGCAACTAATGAGCCATGAAGACTCCCCAGTGTCTATTGGTTGAGACAAAGCATCCAGATGGGAGAATAGAGAACTTCTTGGTCCTTATTCATAAAATTTCAACTTCAAACCACTTTGAAAAACACATGATAGAACATAAAGCATAAAATCTGCGGCTGGGATATAAGCTGAAGAATAGATCATCACTGTTAATGTCGGAATGATTCATTTTGGTTTGGAGAGTTCTCAAAGATAAATGGTTAACCCATTTATCAGCATAATTATTACCTTCGCAATCGATTTGGTGCCAATTTAGACTTACTGAAGATTTTTGAATTTTCTTTAGAGTCAACTAAAGACTTCTAAGTCATAATTCTTCTGCTTTAGAATCTAAGGGGTTGAAAAAGTTAATTCTCAAAGTCCAAATAAGAGGGTCCCAAAATTGTGCATAATTTCCAATTTATTTTTAAGTTTAAAGAATCCAAGAACTTTATGAATCAAGAGGGAGATTTTGACTTTATCTCCTAATAAGCCAATATCATATTTTCTAAGAATCTCTGGCTTAAATTAAACACAGAGAGGCTCCTAATCTTCAATGTATAAAATTCTCCCATATTACTTTGTCATGATATGTGCAAACTATTTTTATGAGATCCAGAGTTTGCCACCCTAAAATGTTCTAAGTTTATAATCTAGAGTTGAATAGGGTAGGATAACATTTTCATAGTCATCCCCCAAGCCTTAGCTTTTGCATGGCTTTGTAGACAACAATTTTCTAAAGATTATGAGCAAAGAAATCAATTAAGAATTTCACTTGAAAAGTTCCTATGTTTGAATATTTCCAAGGAAATATGTAGAGTGTGTTATCATTGTTAATATTTGATACTTTAGCAAGCATTATAGCTTGCAAATGACAAGTCTGTACGACTCTCATGAGAATTTCATGCCTTAGCCACCAAAGAGATCTGAAATTTTGAGAAAGCATGCTTCATATTTCTTTACATAAAATTTGTAATGAAGTTTCTACTACAATATGTAAATAGACTCTATCTATCCTCCTGGAACGAATCCGTATGTCTAATGCTGATAGCAATTAGGACTTCAGATATTTTATCATTATTCCGAGTTTCAGCATGAGGCTCTCACACAAACAAGAGTTAAGGAGTCCACTAAATTTCATATTTCTTCGGTAATACCAATGCTAATAATTTTGGGAGGTCTTTAAAATATTTGCTTTACAGTCTCAACAAGGCTCTCTGGCACTAAAATTATTCCCTTGAAACGTCTTCATTTAGCATCTCTTGAAGTGGGTAAATTTGAAATATTAATATCTTCGTTAACTTGAAAACTAAATTTTGGAGTCAAAGTCTACATGCTCTGAGAGGCAAGATGAGGCGACTCTTTAAAGCCAAGAATGTATCGAATGTATTTGATAGTTATTCCGAGCATTTCTGACATTATTGGTTTCAATCAGAGTCCTCAAGGAGAAGGCGCTTATTTGGTGTTTAATTAAATTTCTTGAGCACAAAGCTACATTTCCAACATTTTCTAGATAAACATTCTTTGGTTGATTCCTGCAAGTATCTTTTGGAAAGACAAGGGATCATAGCTGGAGAGGTTGAGTGACTCTTTTGCTCGATTTATCATAAACTAATATTGTTTGAGCCAGGCTCTAGCCTCCTGTTCTCTTCCACATTTAGGGTGTAAAATTTATCACTTACAAATTTGTGTAAAATTTCTATTTAACTCGTCCATAATATAAAGTTCAGAAAACTAGGATATGAAGTTTTGAAGATCCAGATATAAATAAATCACTTCAAGGGCTACTTTTCTAAAATTCTTAATAGTCTCATTGCTCTTTGTTGGTATGAAAATCCTTAAGCAAGTTTAGCGCTAAAACATATCTTAATATTTAATTTATGAAGAAAGATGGTTAATGAGGCGAGATTATAGATGACACTCTCTTGAATGCTTGCCCTCAATCACATCATGAATTCGCAGATGTGACATAGTGTTGAACTTAATAAAATTTGGAGCTGTTCACCTCATAAAGCCACTCAATCGAACATTAACATAGCATTTCTAACTTATTAGTGAGACTTATTCTTAATAGACCAAGAATTAGTCTAAACTTAAGATGATGGAAAGTAAGAACACATTTTAAAGACCAACTGAAATCTTTGCCAGGGCGTTGCGACTTCTCATCTTGGGGATTTACCCATTTGGTTATTGCACTAAGATAGTAAACCTGAACCCAAAAATTTTGGAGAAGAATTTAGAACAAATTATTATGAGATTCTTGTCTCAGTCTGGCTGTGTATTCTTCAGGGTGGAACTTCTTCTGATGAGTCTACAAATTAGAAAGAGCTTTACCTTTAAGTTGTACTTCTCAGTGTAACCTTTCTGGCAGAATTCACACACAAACCTCTTTCTGCTGTCAATGCTTGGATTTGTATGACTTCTACGATGTTTAATCATGTTTCCTCTCTGAGTGTAGCTCTTTGAACATAGTGGGCATGCGTAAGGCCGGATCTTAGTGTGGTTTTCCAGATGGTCTTCCATTTCACTAAGATTGTTGAAGGTTCTTTTGCACCCATTGACTCTGCAAGAGAAATGGAATCTAGCTTGAGTCTTCATCATAATCCTCTTCATGCTTCTGATAGAGTACAGAGGGTTTCCATTAGAGTCTATAGATTAATATTTTAGTGACAGCTTTTCTTAAACTGCAAGATATCATTGCAAATTGCTCTTTCCAACTCGCACGATAGTATCTCCAGCGAACCAAAAGATAGAGCTTTGTATAATAAAGCTGGGGCTAGTTGACTTATAACAGCTCATTAAATTTCTAACAAAGAAGTGGTGGCTCTATTTAGTAGTGAATTATTTCCTGCCAAATCCAATCCTTTAAAATTTCCCAAAAAACTTAAAAAATCATGAGAATCTTATTTGAATATAAAGAAGCGCAGCTGAATTTTCTTGAGAGATAACAATTCTTGAAAGAGAGAGTCAAATTCATCCATCAGAACACAAATTAGGGACACTTTTTAATAAAACTAGGTGAAAATCTGAAAGCATAAGGTAGACTTAACAATTGGCTTAATTAGGAAATATATAAGTGAAAGGAAGTCCTACTTTGTTTTAAAGATATTCTGATCCTGACCTTTAATATGGTCATTGACAAAATTTAGTGAGGCAGTGTTAAGTAATGGAAATATGGTGAGAAAATACTAAAATTTTAAAGCATTAATTCAAATCTCACAGATCTTGAATTTGAAATGTATGTGAATGATATCTGAGGATCCAATATGATAGATAGCATGAATGCTCAAACATGTTATGTGAGCCAATTAAAAAACTAACCTTTTGGGATAGACTCAAACTCAGATTGCTCGTTTAATTCATGCTCCTCTTCTTTCACCTCTGCATGAATGGATGAGCTAATTTTGTTCAGAGGAGGGAGAACTGGCTCAAAAGCTTTTCTTTTAGTAAATAACTCGCACAGGCAATACTGATCTTCCAGAGAGCAGTACATATTGTTGTGACTGGGTTCTTGAGGCCATTCTTGTTCAATCGCATACAAGGACTGAGCATCTCCTATAAAAAATGTGAGTGAATCATAAATAAAAATATAGATCAATAAATAAATGGAAAATCAGACCTAGATGTGGTGAGCTTTTGAAGCAAATGAGTGCTCATAAACAATTTCTAAATGGTTCAAAAGATACTAGTGAGTTAGATAATGATACTAGTAGAATTCAACTAATGCTTAATGTAACTCACATCAAAATACCCTGCAATGGTGAACTTTGCGCACTTTACCACCCCAAACGAAATGGGAATGCATTATTTTTGTAAGAATTTAATGATCCTGCTAACTAAGAAAGCTCAGAGGAGGTTTTCTTTCCCTCAAAGATTCTATCACCAGAGAATCTAGGCGTAAACTCATTCACTACTATATCATAATTCCACTGTGGAGGTTGAAGGATAAACCCAAAACGAAAACTCCAATTGCAGAATCAAACAGTTGGCTTACCGAATTCAGCGATGACCAAACAAGGGATTGTGTCAGGGTAAACCTGGGAATTTCAATTCATAATTGATGATAGTATTTGTTAATAATTATTACATTTAAATATTCCTTCCCTCTTATGGGGTTTTGGGGTTTTGGGGTTTTGGGGTTTTGGGGTTTTGGGG